TTGGGCCGAGCCACCCTGAAGTGGTTCGGTTTCGGCCGAGCCCCTCAGGGTGTTTGGGTTTTGTGGTTTTGTTTTTGGGTTTTGTCGTTTTTCCGTTGTATCCGTGATTCGGTTGTGCGGTTGATTTGTCTGGACTCGATTTGTTGACCTGATTTGGCAGTCAATCCGAATCCTGATTTGGCAGTAAATCCACTTCTGAGTTCGAGTTCGAAACCGATCTTGATTCGGTCGTGATTCATCCGAGTCCGCTCTTGTTTGGAGTGGACTAACGATCGTGTTTGGATATGTCGCCCGATGGTTCGTCGGTTTGTACCGAGCTGTGCTAAGGGTCCTATAAGTAATTTTATACGCCTACAGATACCCCCTCCAAAGTATTTCAGCCTCGTTCTTTTATAGAAGAGTCTGGAATACTTTGGATATGATTGTCCCAACCTTCAATCGGTGTAACGGGACTTTGGAATGGCTTCTGTTCTTGATTCCTTCAATCTTCCAGGCTATTCGGTGCTTTGTCGAATGTCTGTAAGAGTTCCGGTGCTGCATTTATTGTCTGACCGTTGTTGGAATTTTAAACTCGAAGTCGGTTCCTGATTTTCTAATCTTTAGCTGACCATCGATTGTTGGCGTTGAGTTTTTTATTTGCGACGCGTTGTCCGGCGTAGTGTTGTTGAGTTATCCTTAAGAATATTTATAAAAAATATTCTCCAGGAACTTCTCAACCAAAAATAGGGAATAGTTTATACTCATATACCTTATTGGAGCATTAAGAAGCAGTTTATACTCGTATACTTTTCGGAGTATTGATTCTTTCGTTGCAACGCATTGATCGGCGTTGACCTAGGGTTACGCGTTATCCGGCGTTAACCTTAGGGTTTTGAACGTCGTACGTTGACTTTTTTGATCGCAACGCGTTGACTGGCGTTGACCTAGGGAACGCGTTGACTGGCGTTGACCTAGGGTTACGCGTTGACCGGCATTGATCCTAGGGTTTTGAACATCGTACGTTGACTTTTTTGATCGCAACGTGCTGATTGGCGTTGACCTAGGGTTACGCGTTGACTGACGTCGACCCTAGGGTTTCGAACGTCGTAGGATGCTCAAGTCACAAGACCAACTAATAAAGCTGATGCGTCAGTGACCCTCGCATTTATAGGATTTTTGGCAAACCCTCAGCCATCAACGGGTTTGATGAGCCTTTACCGACTACCGTTTGAGTCGGGCTAGCATGCGGATTGTTCAAGTCCGTTCCGCATGTGACGTTAAGCTAAAAGAGTTAACCCTTTTAGTGCACACGTGTTAGGTTTCATTTATAGGATTTTTGGCAAACCCCCAGCCTTTAACGGGTTTGATTAGCCTTTACCGACTACCGTTTGAGTCGGGCTAGCATGCGGATTGTCTAAATCCGTTCCGCATGTGACGTTGTGCTAAAGAAATGAACTCCCTTAGACTTGATGCTACAACTTCGAATATGTAGACTTCGCCATTGTTATGGGAATAGGCTACCCAGCAACGTGTATTAGACGCTGACTTATCCCTACTTAGGTTTCGGGATAAAATACCCCAGAATCAAACTCTGGTGTCTTTTTCTTCGGAGAAAGACTAAACCGGCGACGCGTGTTAGGCGTCGGCATATCCTTTCTTAGGATTCAGGATGAAATTCCCCATGCGTGTAAGGCATGGATTTTGATGTTATTAATAACAACCTGTCACATTGTTGAATATGTGAACGAGTGTTCTTTTTTTTTAACGGTTAAGAATTAACCGGCAGCGCGGGTTAAGCGCAGACTTATCTTTGCTTAGGTTTCAGGATAGGATACCCCCGAATCGAACTCTGGTGTTTTTTTCTATGGAAAAAGACTAAACCGGCAGCGCGTGTTAGGCGCAGACTTACCCATCGTAGGTGACAGGACATAAAGCACAATCCCTGGAATGACCGATCATGGTTTCGAGGAACAGCTAGACGTCTCTGAAGAAGATGTGGTCACATCCCACAATTCAAGGAGGAGTCAAGTTGTCCTTCTCCCATTTAAAAGCCTCTTCCGGCACACTGGAGAGGAGGTCGCAAAACTTAGGAAAAAGAGTTGAGACCAAGCTCTCTGCACAACTTTCTTTGCATTGCAGCACTACTGCTTAGTTCCGAGCTCCGATCGCCGGCGAACTAAACAGACCCGAACTCTCTCAAGTTGAGCTTCTACTGCGAACTGAAGCTCTCCAGCAACCTCATTCGAACGGTCCAAGGGAAGCAGACTCGACACGAGCATCGAGCGAAGCATCCTATAGCCACCTAAAGTCCCCACACAAAACAAAGAGGGCCTTCCCTCTGCTTCTGTTGTAACTATTTGATCATTAGTTTGTAATAAGCTTTCTTATAAATACAAACGAAACTCCCTTTTTCGGGAAATCAAATATTCACCCTACAATGACCATTGGCATCTTGTCGAAGTTAGATTGGATGAAATTGTTGCCATACACTATTTGTTCATGTGGACCATGGTTTGTTTACGAATATGCTCAACTATTTGTAGAATTCGTAGCAATCTAGCCTTCCTTATCCAATTATTAAAAAGCTTAGCCACATTAAATATTAACTGCCCATACCTGAAAATATATTAGGAGAACATTAACAATTATACAATATAAGTTAACAGTTATTGGTTAACAGTTAATAAATAAACAATGTAAGTTAACAATTCTAGGTTGAAAGTTAACAATTATACTACAAACTTTAACAGTTTCATTACGAACGTTAAATAATTATGAGCAAAATTTAATGTCAGTGACACAAATCTTCACTGTTAATTAACCAAAGCTAACATATGCTATATAATGTTATCTAATTCTAGTAAAGAAAGCATTTACCCACTGATCAGGAGAGTAGTTAACAACAATGTTATATGCCATTGGATCAATATCATATATTTCTTTCATACGATCTTTCTATTCTGCTATAGTGTATTTATAACAAGCAGATTGGAGCAAGCCCCCCAAAACATGAGTGTGCTTCGATTTTATGCCCAAGTCCTTTAGTTTTAACCTGAAATTTTCAACGAGATGCAAAACACATCTAGAGTGTAGATCTTCTGAAAAATATTCTTTCACTGATTCTTTAATTCCTTTGTCCGCATCTGAAATTATAACCAATTGGTGGGTAGAATTGTATGGGTCAAGCCTCTCATAAAGTATGGATCATAGACCTTGGAGGAACTGCTTCCAATTCATCAAATTTTTCTGATTGTATATGCAATAAGCTAATGGAAATATCCATTGGTCCCCATCGTATGCCATGACGCGAAGGAGTATACATTTATATCGATCCTTCAAAAATGTACCGTCCAAAAATAGAAGGGGTCTGCATCCACTCAAGAAACTATTGATGCATACAGCGTAACAAACAAAGAGTCTTGAAAACCTTTCCTCATTCTGTTCAACATGAATATAGCTGTCTGGAATTGTCTCTTTTACCATGCGCTCATACCTAGAAAATTAACAAGCAAACATTGAAGGTTAAGTTAACATGTTATCAATGTAACTTAACAAGAGAACGACAAAAGTTGACATGTTCCTGATGACATTTACCAAGTAAATAGCAAATGTTAACATGTTAGGTTTCGTTTGGATAACATGGTGTTTTACTTATTTCCATGGTGTTTTTATCAAAACTGAAACACCATGCGTTTGGAAACCATGATGTTTTCTGAGCTAAATCATCCCCAAATCAAAAACACAATACTTATTTCAAAACACCTTGTAGGTGGTTTTTAATAAATAAATTGTAATAAATTAATAATTATAAAATTATATATAATAGTAACATATTTAATAATAAAATAATAATATTTTTATAATAATACAATGTTTAAGTAATAACATAATATTAACATTATTAATAATATTATATTATATGAATAATAGTATAATATTATATTAATAATAAAATAACATTATTTTAAAAATATTAATATAATCTATAATAATAACAAATTGATATATCAAAATAATTAAATATATAATTATTTAAAAATAATATGTAATAATTATAATATAACATAACTCATTAAAGTACAACATAATATTATAATATATTATACAATGTTATATTGCATTATATCTAATACTTATAATATTATAATAATGTAAACTAAATATTATAATATTTTATTATAATATATTTTATTATAATTAATATATAATATATTAATAATATGTTTAATACTAATATTGTAATTGATCAAACTAGTGTTGACCATAAATACTTAAAATGGTGTTTTGAAAATAGTTTAAGGAAAAAACATAACACCTTGTTTTTTTGACAAAAACACAAGAAAAACAACATGGTATTCAAACGAAGCCTTAGTGATGTGTTTTAACAAGCAAACCACGAAATGTAAAATATTATCAGTGTAGCTTAACATGAACACCAATAGACTTAACATATTATCCGTGTAACTTAACAAACATTTGGCAACATTCACATATTAATTGCTTAACATTTGCCTATCATGCTCAGAAGACATTAAAACATTGTAACAATAAAGCTCAAATTTTTACCATCGTAGTTGATCATATGACTCATATGTATCCCCATACAGCTTCTTTTGTGCTCTCTCTTTACCCATCATATCTTATTGTAATTAATTCTAAAGTTATACTTTGTGAGGAACCCCTTTTACACATCAACAAGGCAGATTTCTGACCGAACCTTTAGGAGTGGTTGCAACTATGTTGCAATGAATTTATGGGATGCCCTTGAACGACCTGCATTTTGCCCATGCTGTCCACAAATGTGTTCATTCACAAACTTCTTGATCGAAAGTCTCTTTTCATTCTTAACATGAGAAGCAAACAACATCCAATGGCACTCATAAGTTTCTTTATATCGGCAATAAACACGGATACGTTTTGGTTCATTCTTTACAAATTTATAATCAAACATTTTGACCATAGAATAGTATGTTAAAGCCAATCTTAATTCATCAGAACTTTTAAATTCTTGACCCTCTTTAATTAATACAGTGTGCCACCAAGCATGAATCATTACTGTGTTGTTAATAATGTCTTTGGATCATAATATATTGCTACCATTGGGATTATCAGAGGGAATACTTTCTAAACTATGACTTGCGACAGGGGTGCTATCAATAAAATGTGACTTCAATATAGCCATATTGCTGCACAAATATAAATATTTTTGTTAAAATAACAATGACAACTAGTAGTTATCTTTTACGTCATTAAAAGTAACACATATCCAGTAAAGCTTAACAACTATGCTAGTTAAATAGTTAACATGTATCAGTCATATATAACATTTAACCTGAAATAGTTCTCTATATTAGTCATTTCTCCACATTTTAATCACACAATTCATAACTTTCTCAACAATTTAACGATAACCTCCGTTTTAGGAGGTTCCTTCTGAGTGTTTTAAGATTGGAAACATCTACATATAGTAGCTTGGATATGGATCTCCACACACACAATATTACGGTTATACTCCACCATACACTTCAAATCATCTTCATTCTCAATCTCAAAACTGAGATCAGGGTTTCTTTCAGATTTATACACCATTGATAACGCGTCATATGGAACCTTCAACCTCTCAAACACATCAAACTTCAATTCAAAAAAAAGAGGTTGAAGACGTTACCGTTGAGAACACCGCTTTCTCACCTAAGGACACCATGCAAATCAGAGGTTTCTATGCCATAAGTTAAGGAGATTTAAGAGGAGCAATGAAGAGAATGTTAGGACAAGAGGGGGGTTGAAGACCATAACCGTTCATAAATATGGCCTTTCCACCATAAATGAACTCTATTCACACAAGAATAGGTTAAGATGAGATATAATGGTGGCAAATCCTCAATATTTTCCCCAAAAACCGTCATCAAGTCGCCTTAATTGCGACCACGACCGATCTCTAGCTCCGGATATGGATTATCGAGGTTGGGGAGAGAGAGCAAAGGATATTTTCGGGTGCTAGGCCACATGAGTGCACACGTTTTGGGGCCTTGAAGCAAATTTTCCTATTTTTCAGACTCGAACATAATATAGAGTCTGAGATTAGTTTTGAAGTATTCAAAATAGTAAGGTTTATATAGGTTTGTGACCAAAGGACTAACTTATTTTAAATAGAAGTACTAGTTGAAAATGCATAAGATTTTAAGACTTGGCATGTAAAACTCAATTTGTTTTCTTTTTCAAACAAAATTGGGGGAAAAAGAATTTAAAAATAAGGCTTGGGCTGCTTTAATGGGCCTTTTCTCCCATTGAGCCTCACTACGATTATACAAATCCGATCATAACATTGTCTCCCTCTCTCCGCAATATAAGATGCCTGCACCGTGACACCACGCCATCACATCTCCCGGCCTAATCCTCACCGGCGAAATCCGCACCTCCACCTCCTGCGCCACTTCCATCGCAACGCCCACCTGCCTCCTCCTTCCCTCCTCTCCTCTCCAACTTCACGCCACAATTCTTCCCTCTCTTCCCTCACCTCCTCCACCATCACTCCTCCTTCAACCTCCTCTCCGCCGCCTCTCTCATCTCATCCGCCCCCGCCTCCTCTCTCCTCCCTTTCTCTCTCCTCTCCTCCTCCTCCTCCTCATCTCGCCGCGAACCATTACCTTCACACCTCCCCTCCTATCCTCCCTCCCCTCCCTCCCCCTCGCTCGCGCGCGCCACCTCCTCCATCTCGCCTCGGCTTCCTCTCCCACCCCCACGTCCTCAACTCCATGCTATCATTATACTCCCGCCTTAGATTAACTCCTGATGCTATTATGCTATTCAATTCCTCTACTTATTCCATTGACGTCGTTTCTTACAACATAATGATTAATGGGTATGTCAAAATTGGGGACATTGAGAATGCGAGAAAGGTGTTCGATGAAATGCCTACTAGAGATGAGGTTTCTTGGAGCTCGATAATTGGCGGGTACGCGACAAGTGGGCAGTTGGATATAGCGAGGTATCTGTTTGAGAGGATGCCGGAGGGTAAGAACGTGGTGACGTGGAACTCGATGGTGGTGGGGTTTGCCAGGAACGGGATGGTGGGGCTCGCGAGGAGGTACTTTGACGAGATGCCAGAGAGGAATTTGGTGTCGTGGAATGCGATGGTGTCGGGGTACGCGATGAATGGGGAGATGGGTTTGGCGAGGGAATTGTTTGAGGTGATGGAGGAGAGGGACGTTGTTTCTTGGAGTTGTATGATTAAGGGCTATGCGATGTGCGGGAAGCACTTGGATGCGTTGAAGTTGTTTAAGGAGATGATGAAGGAAGGTAAAGTGAGGCCGAATGAAATTACTATGGTCAGTGTGTTATCGGCATGTGCGAATCTTTCGGCGTTGGATCATGGGGAGTGGATTCATGATTATATTGATAGGAATGGAATGGCTTTGGATGATGATTATAATCTTGGGGCGGCGTTGATTGATATGTACTTCAAATGCGCAGCTATGGAGTCTGCACTTGATGTGTTTCATTCATTGAATCGAAAGAATGTCTCAAGCTGGAATTCTTTGATCACTGGATTAGGGATTAATGGGCTAGCATCCGATGCTCTGTGTGCATTTGAGAAGATGCAAAGATCAGGAATAAAACCGAATGATATTACATTTCTCGCGGTATTAAATGCTTGCACCCATGGAGGTTTAGTTGAAGAAGGGCGACAGTATCTCAAGAAAATGTATGAAGTTTATGGGGTTCAACCTGAAATCAAGCATTACGGATGTATGATTGATTTGTTAGGACGAGCTGGGTTGTTGGAAGAGGCGGAGGAGATGGTTAAGAGGATGCCAATGAAGCCAGATGTGATGGTATTGGGAGCACTTCTCGGTGCGTGTCAGATTCATGGAAATGTGGAAGTTGCAGAGAGAGTAAAGAATGAGTTTCTCGAACTGAACTTGCAGCAAGCGGGTTGCCATGTTCTATTGTGTAATATCTATGCTACTGCTGATCGGTGGGCTGATGTGTCTCGGATGAGAGATAATTTGAAGGGGATGGGGATTAAGAAGAAAGCTGGATCTAGCTCTGTTGAATTTGACGGAGAGTATCGTTGACAGATTTGAATGCAAGTGGTAAGGATGCACGTCTATCTTAGCACCATTGGTGAGAGATCTCAGTTCTATTTCATTTGGATGGCTATGTTACGAAATAGAATCCAACGGTAGGTGGAGATTGCCATTTTTTCGTCAAGCGGCTGTGGCTACTGTTCATAGGATTCTTGTTGAGAGATCTCAGTTCTATTTCATTTGAAGGATTGATCTTGGTTTTACCTTTAATTTAGTCAATGAAGGTAACATACGATGAAGGGAATCAGGAAGGGACGGCTCATAATCTTTGATTCGGAAGGGATAAACATGGGAAGACCCAAGTTAAAAGCAAAGAGAGGCTTGCAAAAACCCTTCTGAACATGATCCGTGTTCTCTCCATGAGAAATGATTTGGAAATGGCTGTGCTAATTATACACTAGAGATTAAATGGAAGTTCCTGTCGGTTCCATGACGATTATATTAGCCATGACTTGTAACTTTATCTTCCCCACTGCAAAACATGAGGTTATGAAGATGGTGGGTGAAAGTAAACAGATTGGTTGATCGAAATACAGGGAATATGATCTCAACAACTTCATGCACACAAGTCTCAAAGAACTTCCAAGGTGGTACGAATATTGCCCAAACAAGCTGAGGGGCGAGCATCGAGTCACCGAAGCTGATGATTCTTATTTCAGCAAGGCCTTCGAAAGGAGGATGGAGCTTCTTACACCTTCCAAGCTCATTCCATAATGTAAGCGTCCTTCACATGTCTGCAGTTTTTCTCGTAAAAAAATTACGTCCATTTCTTGAATAATATCTTCTCTACAAAAGAAAGGATTAGGCACAGGATGTGGTTTCAAGTGATATAGGAGCCAATCATACCTTAGTTTCTGTCGATATAATTGCTTTTACCTCATCAAATTGTGATACACATCCCGGCCGCGCAGG